CCTCCTGCCCAAGAGCCCGTGCTCAGTCCTCCGTGGGGACCCCAGGGGAAGGGGAGGACTCCTGGCGCGTGCCGATCCCCCATGGATGCCCGGCCTTGGGCTCCTGGGTCCCTCTGGGCATCTCGAATCCTCTGAATCATCGCAGACAATGCAAGGCGAGCGGCCGACAGGCGGGTCCCGCAGCAGCTGCGCAGGCGGCCAGTACATGTGAGAAGTTTGTGAAAGGAGATGAGAGAAAGGGAGAGGAAGGCGAGGCTGACGGCTGCGAACACCTGGCCAGGCAGCCCCACCAGCTGCCTCCCCGCCATGGCATCTTGAGTTCGGCTGTCCTATCAGGGCCATCTCCCATTCCACTCCTCTTCCCCCTCCCCAACTCCCCACGGTGCAGTTTGGCCAGGGATGGAAGTGGGAAGGGGGAGTCACTGGCTTCTCCATGAAGGCACCTCCAGAAGCATGCCTGGAGCAAGGCCAGCCTCTGAGCCCCTAAAAGCCAGACCTTCTTGCCTTGTGGGAGAGAACTAAAACCGGGGCACCCAATGCCTTCGCCCCTGAGCGTGGGGGGCCTTGAAACTGCTGATAGCCTAAGATGTTAATTAAGGTCAACTGGGTTTCTGTCCTCACTCTACCAATGCTTAACTGTGTGGCCTTGGGCAATTCAGTTAATGATGAATCTCTCTCTGTGCCTCAGTTTTTTCATCTGTAAAATGAAGATAATATTATCAACCTCGTTGGCTTAATGTAGGGATTCAGTGTACAATACTTCTAATGCACAAAGCCTGGGGCGTGGCACTCAGAAACTACTCCATAAATGGCTCTTTTTTATTTTATTACCATCACAGGACAGAATCCTGGGGAGGATATTATTCATGCCTTCATTCTTTCAACACAAATAATGATTGTATTAAGCTCCTACATGATGCCTGGCTTGTAGACATGGCACAGGGACTGATAAGATTTATCCTCAAAGAAGTCCCAGGGCCCTTCAATGAGCACAGATCATAAGACAGCACCTTCTTTTAAGGGATAATGGAGAACAATGCAAAAAACTCAACGGAGGAAAACCGTCTCCAGATTACCTGTATGTGAATCACGGATGTCTTATTAAAAGTCAATTTATTCCCTGTGGTCAAAATCTCTGTGATCCTGTGATGCTGTATTTTAAGAGGCTGCAGATAATTCCTGTTCGTCTATTAGTAAAGTTGAAAACCACTGGCCCACAGGAAAATGCCTTTGCCCTCTGCCCCAGCATCCCTACAGAGCTGGTCCTTCCAGAGGACCAAGTGCTTTGTGTCCTGATTTCAACTTACATGTGGCAACTTTATGTCCCTACTAGACTCTGAACCGCTAAAACAGTGCGCACTGTATCTGCAGAATCAATCACAAGACCCAGCAGTCAGTAGGTATTCTGAAATGATTGTAGAATGAAGAAATTGCCCCTTAATGTCACTTGCCTGAGGGCCCACAGGGTTCTTACTTAAACCCTCAGACAGATTTTGTTTGGCCTATATGGTATATGTGAGTGTGTGTGTGTGTGCGCGTGTGTGTGCATGCATGTTTGTATATGTGTGTGCATGTATGTGTGGAGGAGTGGGGAATATTTTAATTGTAATTTAATTACAATTAATTAAGTTAATTCATTTAAGGTGGAGGGGGGGGCATGTGCTTTCCAGTTTATCACAGTTCCCATCTTCCCTTTTAGGAGCCCAGCTCATTTATTTTACTGGACTTGCCCCAACTGTATTCTAAGGTTCTCCTTCCAGTTGCTTTCTGTATGGTCTCTTCCTCCTTTCTTCTCTAGTCTGTTATCTCCAGGGCCTTCTCAGAAAGACCGTCCTGAAGGATGGGCCTCTCTCATTGCTGGCTGCCTAGAGCTGCTAGGACCTTAAAAGGAAGGATGGGGGAAACCCGGGGAAGACAGGTTGCCAGATGCAAGCTTGGGTTTTGATTTGGGACCCTAATGCCTTGGGATGCTGGAGTGGAAGCTGATGCGCTGAAGGTCAGCTCTGAAGGTCTACGGGGGCCTGTTGGTTTTGCTGTCTCTGACCCCAACCATGGTTAGTATCTTCCAGGCCCCTTAAGGGACAACGCAGAGAAGGATGGATGTGGATGGGCCTTTCCCTCTGTTTTGGGAGTGTCAGTTTCACAGACAACTCAGATATTAGGGAGGGAGTGTGGTCTCAAATGTTGCATCTTCTCCCTGGAGGATGCAACATCCCCAGCTCCCCTTCTCCTTTTCCTTTTTGGCTTTGGGCAGAAACAAGAATGAATGGTCCTAAATACTGGTGAGTGATAAAATAACACCGCATTCAGCTTCTGGGGAGTTGAATGTCTCTGGAGAAAAGCTCTGATTTGCTCAAAATACATTTCACTTAAATTAACCAGAACGACGGTCTTTTGCTAAAGCAGAGGCACTTAGCAGTCCTCTAGTGCAGCCCTCTCCCTGTGAGATAGACCCGGTTTTAGAATGCTGTCCAGACCCCAGCCCTCCTGAGACCCACGGTTCTGGTGCATGTTCTGTATTTCAAGAATCCCACCAGCCTTCCTCTGTGCCCTGTGCATGAATCTACACCCCTCTACTGCCCTGCAAAAACTCCATCATCTTTCTGCAGTGGACTTTAGGCGGGTGGCTCTGTGAGGGTCAGGAAGGAGTCCAGTCTAAAGCGGGGCCTCAGCCCCCTGCACGGGGTCTGGCACTAAGCAGGTGCTGAGTGAATAGGAGGGGACCAACCATGCAGTTTGCACCTGCAGACCAGCCATCTCCAGGGAGATGTGCTGGGACACTCCCACTCCCAAAGGCCTTCTCTTTAGCTTGAAGGAGGAAGGAGAGAGGAACACTTATTCCATGATCCCCGATGTGCCAGGCACTGTGCCAGATGCTTATCTCCGTGTCTGCCTCACCACCATCAGTGGAGGAGAAATTATTACAGAGACATTGCGAGGGCTCAAGGCCTCCCAGCCAGCAAGAGGCAGAGAGGCATTTTTGAATCTGAGGGCAGGACCTGCACCCCAAAGCACCAGCTTGTGAGGAGGTTTACTGAGCACTCAGGGTCCGTGCTCCAGGCTGTCCTCTTTGCTTTGGCTCAAGCGCTTCACCAGAACCGGAAAAGGCAAACACTAGTGCAATTCCTTTTGTAGAGCTCACGTAACTGCGGCCCAGAGAGGTTTAGCAAAAAGGCCTTGCTGGATCTCCCGCACTTGGGCTGAGTCCTCTGATGAAGTTGCAGGGCCATACTGCCTAGGGCTCTGGACGCGGAGGATGGGGAGACCCCAGACAGGAACCCGGATCCAAGCAGGCCTTCCTTTCAAGCCCCTGGGTGGTCCCTCCTCTGCCTAGTTAACCTGTGGGAAACCCACCCAAACCCTGCTGCGCGAGGCTCAGCCCGCAGGCGGGGCAGGTCTTTGAAACCCCGAGGCCTTTCTCCCTTCGCGACGTGGGCTCCCCTGGGCGCTCAGGGCTTCTCTCCGAACCGGGCTTTGCCATCTTCGGAGGGCGGCGCGGCCACAGCCCCAGGATTCCCCATCCATTATTCACGATGTTTACTAGCGCAGGGAAAGGAGAGGAGGGAAGGAGAGGGGGCGAGCAGAGGGGAGGCGGGGCGGGCGGTATTAACCCCGGAGCACTCCCGTCCGAAATTTCAGAGTAGCTGAGTGATTAAAAGCCTTGGGAGTCCACCGCTGACGTCTGGCACCCAGTGGGCCACCAGTGACTATTTGTGAATGGCTACCGTGAGGAGCGAGTGAATGAACGTCTCTATCCCCAGCCAGCCACGCTGTCCTGGGCCCGTTACTTAACCCCTCTGACCCTGGGTTTCCTCATCTGTAACGGTACCAACGCCTCAGGGTGTGCGGATGGATGCCGGGAGCGAACTCTCTGAGTGGCCTAGCACATAGTAGGAGCTCAAGGCGGGCACCATTGCTATGGGGACTGGGGCCTGCACGCGCTGGCGGCCAGGCAAAAGTGCCCAAGGTCGTTGGACAGTCCTACCCTCACTTCTAAAAAAAAAAAAAAAAAAAAAAAAAAAAAATCCGTAGTAAGCTTCCTTAGTTGAGCACGGATCCCGAGTGCTCAGTAAACCTTCCTTAGGCGTGGGGCTGTGGAGAGGGGGAAGGGGCAAAGCTGTCTTAAGCAAAGGCAGGGGTGGGAGAAAGCCACAGGCCTCCTGGACTGGGCAGGCAGTGACTTCCCCCACTTCAACAATTGGGGGTGAGGGCCACCTGGGGCTCATTACGGCAGCGCCCCCCCCCCCTTCCCGGAGCCCGTCTGGGCGCTCGGAGGCGCCTGCTTCTTGGCTGCGTCGCGGGGCCGGACTCTGGTGGACGGCTCGGGCGTGGGGCCAGGAGAGCCCTGGAAATGGGCAGTGTGGCGGCAGCCGGTCCGACAAGGAGTTTGTGTGTGTGTGTGTGTGTGTGTGTGTGTGTGTGTGTGTGTGTGTGTGTGTGTGAGAGAGAGAGAGAGAGAGAGAGAGAGAGAGAGAGAGAGAGAGAGAGAGAGAGGAGTCAACTTCTGCACACACACACACACACACACACACACACACACACCCGCTCAGCCCGGGGCCGCCTTTGGGTCCGGGCAGTGCGAGTTGGGACAGGAGGGAGAGGTGTGGGACTTTGGAGGGGAAAAGTCCACGAAGAAGAAGAGGAAGAAAGAATCCGGAAGACCGGCCCGGTCGGATGCAGGCGGGGCGGGGCAGCCGGAGAGGCCGGGCGGCCGGGTATAAAAGCCGGGCGGGCGCAGCGAGGAGGCGCGGAGAGCCTGCCTGGCCTTGCCTCCGGGGCGGCCCCTGCGAGCCCGGCGTGAGCACGCCTGCGCGCTCCGGGCCTCCTGGCAGGCGGCGTGTAAGATGAGTGAGGAGGCAGGTGGGGGAGAGGGGAGGCCGCGAGCGGGAGGGCGAGGGGAGCGCGGGTGCTGAGCGGCGCTCACTTTGGAGCGCGGCGAGCCAGCGAGCGAGAGGAGCCAGGTCCATGCCCCGGGCTGCCTCCCCGCCAGGCGCGCGAAGATGATGGCCATGAACGCCAAGCAGCCTTTCGGCATGCACCCGGTGCTCCAGGAACCCAAATTCTCCAGCCTGCACTCCGGCTCCGAGGCCATGCGCCGCGTCTGCCTCCCGGCCCCGCAGGTACGTAGTGGCGCATAATTACCGCTCTAAGGCACATTCTTTTAATTTTTTTGACAGGCACTGGCTTCATGTTTTTTTCATGCCGCCCAGAACAATCGCCGCTCGCTGTCTGAACCCCTCTCCTGTCTCCCCCGCGCTTTCTCCCTGTGCGGCGCGAGCTCTCTCTCTCATTCATGTCTCTGATCCGCACGTCTGTTCCAGCAGAGCCTCTGCCTCCAGTATTAATTTTTATGACCTGGGCTTTGAGTAGGAGAGGCATCTCGGTTGCTTGGGAAAATGTGTTTTAATCCTGAGCTGACGGTATTCCCCACTGACCGCGCTGTGCGCCTTTCTCGCTTGCAGCTGCAGGGCAATATATTTGGAAGCTTTGACGAGAGCCTGCTGGCGCGCGCCGAGGCTCTGGCGGCGGTGGACATCGTCTCCCACGGCAAGAGCCACCCGTTCAAGCCCGACGCCACCTACCATACCATGAGCAGCGTGCCCTGCACGTCCACGTCGTCCACTGTGCCCATCTCGCACCCGGCCGCCGCCGCGCTCACCTCGCACCCGCACCACGCGGTGCACCAGGGCCTGGAGGGCGACCTGCTGGAGCACATTTCGCCCACGCTGAGTGTCGGCGGCCTGGGCGCCCCCGAGCACTCGGTGATGCCGGCGCAGATCCACCCGCACCACCTGGGCGCCATGGGCCACCTGCACCAGGCCATGGGCATGGGCCACCCGCACGCCGCCGCCGTGGCGCCGCACAGCGCCATGCCCGCCTGCCTCAGCGACGTGGAGTCGGACCCGCGGGAGCTGGAGGCCTTCGCCGAGCGCTTCAAGCAGCGGCGCATCAAGCTGGGGGTGACCCAGGCGGACGTGGGCGCGGCGCTCGCCAACCTCAAGATCCCTGGCGTCGGCTCGCTCAGCCAGAGCACCATCTGCAGGTTCGAGTCCCTCACGCTCTCGCACAACAACATGATCGCACTCAAGCCGGTGCTCCAGGCGTGGCTGGAGGAAGCCGAGGCCGCCTACCGGGAGAAGAACAGCAAGCCCGAGCTCTTCAACGGCAGCGAGCGGAAGCGCAAGCGCACGTCCATCGCGGCTCCGGAGAAGCGCTCGCTCGAGGCCTATTTCGCCATCCAGCCGCGGCCCTCCTCCGAGAAGATCGCGGCCATCGCCGAGAAACTGGACCTTAAAAAGAACGTGGTGAGGGTCTGGTTCTGCAACCAGAGACAGAAACAGAAACGAATGAAGTACTCGGCGGTCCACTGACTGCGGCGGGGCTCGCTCAGCCTCTGGGGGCCGGGGAAGCTGTGCACGTCCTGGGGGGGAGGGACGGTAACGGGGGACTCCAAGACGTTTTCTGGCAGGTCAGGCTCTCCTTACCGGAGCCACAGACTTTCTCCTTTACCCCACCCGGTTGTCTCCCGGCCTTCTCTTTCTCTTTTTCCCCATTCTATTCCCACCAGAAAAGTTTTGGCACTAAGGGGGAAAAAAAAAAATTCACAAAGGGCGAGCCTGGAGGGACTTGTGCTGTCCATGGTGCTGAAAAAAATCTCCCTGGCGCTCTGGACTACGCGACTACAGGATGGGGAGCCCAAACGCAGGGGTTAGTGAATTGGACCGGATCACAGAACTCTGCGCTGAAGGGGCCACATTGATTGCTAAGCTCGACTAGGGATGGGGAGGCAGTGATAAATAATAATACAAAGTCAAACGGGGGCACCAAGATGTACTGGAGATTTATTTAGATTATATAAAATCATGTATGTTTCCGAAGGATAGCCTTATACTCCCTTCCCCACCTAAACTTTATCCATCTCATTCTTTGGTTTGCTGTAAGTTCTCTAAGGTAGCATGGGTTAGTTCAGGAAAATTGTGCGAGGAGTCGTTCTCCATGTAGGTCCTACTCCAGAAAAGGGCCTTCATGCTGGGGTCTCTTAACTATTTGCAAGCAGCAGTGGGCACTTGCCTTGGTCCATCCTCTCCTACCTGCTGGTAATTGCCGCCAGCTGGAGGGCCAGGGGTTGGTAGTGTTCCGGACTGACAGATAACTCTGGAGCCCAGCTCGCTAATCCAGCCAGGTGCCAGTGCACTGTAGAGGCGGCTGCTCAAAAGTAATCGTAACTTCTCCGAGCTACAATATGCAAGTACTTCCAACACATCTAACCTCGCCACTCTTTCATTGTTGTTATTGTTAGCATCTTTGTTTCCTGTTATTTATTTAATGCTGCTTCTTTTCACCCCCCCCCCCCCCCGTATATGAGTGCCTCTTGATGGAGATTCACTTATAATTTTTGGTGGAAAGAGGGGCCAGGCCACTGGCCTGGATCCTTCCCACATCACTCTCTCCAGCCCCGTTCCATTTTATCTTTCGTTGCTTCATGTAATTTGCGTGTTGCTGTGTGGTCTTTGGTTTCGTTCTCCGAACAGATACAAATAAAATGTTAAGTTTTCTCCTTTTGTTACCCCCTTCAATTAACTTCTAAAATAAATGCTTTATTTTTCAACCTGAATTGCAGTGCTTTTTTTTTTCCTCAGGAGTCTAAGGAGTTTTGGAAAGGATTGAAAAGGGAGAGTCCAGAAGGGCTGATTATCACTTCCTGGAAGGCCAGTCTTATGCCTCTCCTCTCCTTCCTCCTCTTCCCTGGCAGCCTCATCCTTTCACCCCATCTCCTGCTGGGAGATTCCGCTGCTGGTGGTGCCCAGACCTCAGTGTTTCAAGTAACTTCCTTCTACCCAACCCCCCACGCGCCCATCCATCAGCCTCTGGTTGCTCAACTTGACTCAGATGACAAATTTTCAAGCCCCAGGGCTGTATGAGTTCCCAGTGCCTCCACCCATTGGCTGAACGACCCTAAAGCCAGTCTCTTAAGTCTCTGAGCCCCTATTGTCTGTATGCTGGAAGAAGAGGCGAATATTCTTGGGACGAAGATTGTTTATTTAAGGCGCCTGGTAGTGGTTGGTGCTTACTAGGAAGCATTATTATTATTTTAAGACACCCAAACGACCTTCCGGGGAAAGAGGCGATAGATGCACAGAGGGAGAAAAATGTCTTTGCTAGGGCCCCCTGGGTGATCTCTCCAGAAAATTCCTTTGGAATTGTCCCCCAAGAGGTTACTCACTAAGGTCTAGCCCGGCTTCCCTGTGGGGCGCTAAGTGAGAAGATGTCCGCGGCCCAGTTCCTACGGTAGTGCCTTGTGCTTAGTAGGCGGTCAGCCGATGTTAGCTCTCTTCCTTCTCGCCCACTTCCTCTATAAAAAGGAAGGAAACCTTTTTATTTGTGAGCCGCGGAAACACCTTCACGATTTAGAAATTCATGCTACAAGTCCAGGAGCCGCCTGCTCATTTCTCCACTGTGTCTTCAAAGAGCTCTGGGTCCTCAGACCTCCAGCCCGAAATTTCGAGCCGAGCAGGTCGCCCCTCCGCGCAGTGCTCCCCCTTCCCCCCTCCCCACCACCACCGCTGGGAAAGCAAACCCGAAGCTCGTCCTCAGCCCCCAGGCCTCAGCCCCTCGCCCCCGCCTGGTGTAACAGCCCCAGCGATTCCTCCACCGCCCTCTCCATCGGGTGTCCTTTAATAATAAATGCCCTTATGCCATTACATTATATTGTGGGTTTTGAAAATTTAAAATACGGCTGATGCAATATTAATTGCCTATAGTGGTATAAAACACAGGGCCGGAGCCCAGCCGGGCCGCAGAGGAGGCGGCCGGGAGGGAGCGTCCCGCGCCGAAGCGAAGCGCTCCAGACAGACGCGCCTTGGCGGGCGGCGAGGTTTCCTGCAGGTAAGAGCCGCCGGCTTTTCTGGCCCCCGGGAAAGAACCGGATATCCGCCTCCATCACCTCTTCTAAAAGTCCCCTGCTGTTATTTATGGAGTTTTTCTTTTAAATGAGTAAGCTCTAAAGTTTAGGAGACTTTTTTTTGGAGAGGGTGGGGTGAGTCGCCTGAGTGCAAGATCCGCGTCAGAACCGGCCCGGCTGGGTGACGAGCGGGACCCGCGCCTGGGTTCCTGGTCCAGGCCAGGCGCCTGGGACTGCCGGCTCGCACCAGTATTTGACCGGTTTCTACAGGGAAGATGTGTGTGTGGGGAGGGGGGGGGGAAGAGTGCGGGGGCTGCGACCCGGCCAGGACGCGCTCCACCCTCTTTCACCCGCAGTGCGCCCGCCCGGCGCCGCTGCCTCTCTGCTTGGACCAGCTCAGGAAGCAACGGGAGCTGCGGTTTCTCCGGAATTGTGCAGTCGCCTAGGCCACTCGTCTGTTGGAGGCCCAGACCTCTCGCGGGTGGAGGAGGTAGGGAGTACCAGCCGGTTTGGGGTTTACGCAGGCCTGGTGTGCATCCTGGTGAGCCATTTCCTACCCTGACCTTGGGCAAGTCCGGCCATCTCTCTAAGCCTCTGCTGGTGGCTGTAAAACCTCACAAAAATTACATTGTCATTGAAAAGCAACCCAGAGCAGATTTTCTTTTCCCAAATGCTGCAGACTTGCAACATTCACTGGGCAAGGCCCAGATGGGGGTTTCTTTAAACTGCACCAAGAGAAGGCGAGGCCAACATCAGGGCTGTTTAGATGGATGCTGCATTGTGCCTGTCAAGTTGGGACTTTGAAAGTTATCTGTGGACAGGGGGAAGGCTTGGGGAGTCTGAGCCATGTGACCCCTAACCAGCAGCTTCCACTCTGCGTGCCTAAGGTAGTGTCGGTTTTGTTGTGTCAAGCCCCATTGCCAGCTCAAGGTCTGGGCCAGAGTGGCAGACAGTGGATCGATAGATACCTGTGGAGTGAATGACTGAGAAATGAAAGGATCCCTTCCAACTTCATACCTCTAGGTTCTAGGGAGTGTAGGGGAGAACAGGGACCTTCAAGAACAGACAAGTATGCCTGGGGGTGGGGGTCAGGGTCTACCTGGCGGTCTGCACCTCAAACTTCCATTCAATTCCAGCCAGTTTCCTTCCTGTTTCAATCGGAAGAGGCCTTGCCTCACTCTGTGGTGCTTGCTCATGGGACAGAAATGGTGCTGTGTGATTGTGACATGGGCCCTTTGTACCCAGAGAAAGCCACAGGAAGGAAGATCAGGGGGAGACTTCTTCCTGCTGAGTGTGCCTGATTTTCTCTTGACCCCACCTAGATTCTTGAGTTCTTTTCCTTTCCTGCAGAGCCGGAAACAACTCCAGGTCTGGAGTGCACCCACCTGGGGTGGAGCACCTACTTCCTCTCCTACTTGTAAGTGGCTTTACTGCTCTGAGCCTCAGGGCCCTCGTCCGTAACATTGGAACAGAGACTAACTTTCAGGACTGCTCTGAAAATTAAATGGAATCACATAAGCCCAGGGCCTGACACATAGTAGGCATGGATAGATGCGTGGTCTCTTTGCAACATGCTTTATGCTCAGGAAAAGAAAGATATAGTGTTGTAGGGGCAGATTCAGGGCCCGGAGCGGTCCACAGGCGCTCCCTCTGTGAGCCACAGGCTGTTCGTTCTGGAAGGAAAAGTGGTAGCAGTGCCCTCCAGCTTAGGACGCGGCTGTCAGGAGCAAGCCGCACAGCACCAGAGAGATCTCTCCGCACATTGTGTCGTCCCGCTTGTGCCAGGGCCGGCGAAGTCGCTCTCAAGGGGGGCATCTCTCCCGGCCTCAGACTCCTTCCCGAGGGGCAGGGCTCCGGGCCGCGGAGGCTCGGGAGGCTGGGATCTCCCGCTATCACTCCTCCCCGCCCAGCTCCCAACTCCGGCCCCCAGCGCCCCCGAAGGCGGCCGTCGGTCCGCAGGAGGGAAGAGCGTCCACACGCCCAACTTTTTTACTGCAGGAGAGACCGAGGCCCAGAGAAGGCGGCACCTTGTACCTACATGTGTGTTTCCCCAGTCACACTACCACCCCACACCGCTTTGCCTCTTTCTTAGACCCTTTTCTCCCAGATAGCACCAGGTTATCTATTTCTCAGTAAATGCCCTCAGGGCGAGCCAGCACCACGTCTGTCCAGTTTCCCCGCCTCCCTGAACCCAGCCCAGGGCCTGCAGAGTGAGCCTCCACACAAGTCTGTGGCATAAACGAATAATAATGATAGAAGACAGATAGTGAGGGCTTCCTGCGTGGCAGGAACTATTCCGAGCGCTTCGTTGCATTAATATATTCATCATGAAACAACACTATGCGTAGATGCCATTCTATTTTTATTTTTCAATTATAGTTGATTAGACATTTATATAACTGACCAAGAGATCCTCCTGGGAAGTGTAATGAGTAGGTACCACTTTACAGATGAGAACTTGGAGGCACA